AAAACACCACCTCTGATCAAAGAAAGGAAGATGATACAAGAGATGCAAAATCATAAGACAAGATGTTCTACCATAAGACACTTTACAAATTACATTGGTGGAATTCCTGAGAGATCTAAACACCTCTGCAGAGAAACTAAATCACCTACTAAATGGCTCTTTACCAACGGCTTTTTTGCTGTCTACCAAAGCTATAATAAACCTCCACAGTTGAAAATTCAGGCTACGCCAGTGCAAGTTACAAATACTACTTCCTTATGAAGAGACAATCAACCATGCAGGGCACTAAAGGTTACTCCCAAGAATAGCTGCAAATACTTCATATCCTCATGTCCCCACATTAGACTGCCTTTAATACAGAAGGTATATTTAGTCAAGTATCTCTGAAAGACAGACTTACCAAATCTAGGTTATTGCTCTCAGATAACTAAATCAATATCATCAATACATTAATCAGGTTAGACTGTCTAAATATCCCTTATGTTCATAAAATCTGCTACTTCACTTTTGTCTGAGCCCATGAGAACAAGCTAACCATTAATTACAGATTTTTTGCAACCACCCACAGCCTGGTGTAAAGTAAGAAGGGAAATACTTCCTTTGCTAAAACAGTAAGTTCCTTCACATCTGTAAGTGCTTCTAAGATGAAATATTTGGGTACTACTTCCAATACTCAAATCAGAAAAGACAGGCTGAAACAGGTTTTTTTAATTAAACAGTGTCATCAGCAATGACATTAGCTTAGCATTTTCACTACAAGAATTTTCTTACACTGCAAGAATTTTCTTAGCATTGATCCATTTAAGAATTTGAATAGGACTGCAACCCTCAGAGATTCAAGCTAAAACTGTTATGTCATTGATTTTTTTAATTTCCAAGTTTCTCTGTGCTGGTTTTGTCAAATGCTCCCAATATATGAACACTGACACAGAAACATATTCCTGAGATTAACCAAACTGAGCAAGAATTAACTTCATATGATTATTTAAAACAGTAATGCTGCAGATTCATTTTTATAATCTTATCAACCACCTATTGCATTGACACTTTGATCTGTAAACTCTTGGCTTCCACCTCCTGGGTTTCCATCCAGGACAAGGTAAACTCATACCACAAACTCAGGACCCTACAAGGCAGGGTAGTGGTGAGGAGGAAAAGAAACAGGGAACCTTAAGATAACTAACAAGAGTAAGAGCCTAAGCTTCTCCACAGCTGCCTCAGAGTTCTGACACAATTAAGAATCCCTTTTAGCAGCAGCAAAGTGAATTGCCCACCCACCACATATAACAACTAACAGTAAAGAAAAACTTCCCAACTGTTTTGATGGACCACTGTGAGCCAAGAAAACTGAGTAGCACAGAATCAGTCTGTTCTGCTCTGTCAGCACTTGAGATAAACACCCACTCAGGAAGAGCAGCCTGAAACCTGAGCAGGATATGCATACTTGTCCTGTAACACATGCACAGCCCCTGGGTACTTGAAGACCATATTTATATGGGGTATTTTACCAGTAACATCCTTTCACTGTACAGTTCCTTTCATCACTATTCCAAAAACAGTCTACAATGAAATGGGAAATTCTTGCAATACTTCTATGTATGGGCAATTGGTAGTGTGATGCATTCACTCAGAAATGTCTTTCAGCTGAAGGTGTAGTTATTATTATGTATTTCTGGGGGGGTTAGGCACATGAGGGGGATGAGATGAAGAAAGAGCTAGAACAGCTTATGGAAAACACTGAGGAAAAGGAAAAATATTTTTTCCTATAAAACTGGAATTTGAAATGAAAATTCCATTTCAAAATTTTAAAATATTACCTAAGATTTAAAAAACTGTAAAAAAAAAAAGATAGTCTGAAGATTGATGGTTGATGTAGATTTTTTTACCTTAGTTTTCAGCACTTAGTCAAGCTATATGCATTTCAAAATCCCCCAAACCCAAGCCATTTGCATGTCCCAAGGATAACCCTCAGAGAACAGTGGCAGTCTTACATTAAGTTCTACAATTCCCTTTGCTCTTACATGAGGAAATATACAGCTGGATAATGCACACACATATCAATGTATCCTTCTTAACATCAGCTTGATTTCTCTTTTGCACCACTCACAGTTTCTTGTTCTTCATTTTGGATCATAATATTTAGGAGGCCATGTACAAGTTTTTGTTCCATTATACTGGACATATCACATTAGTAAAGGTCCCCAACCACAGCTTCCAGACACTATGGCAATACAAACAGTAAACAAAATATTTCATTTCAACTAACTGGCAGAGACTTCTAGAAGTACTTATGCCCGCAGTAGTCATGGCAGTACGGCAGAGAAAGAGTAGGTGTGGAAATTATATACCTGCTTTTAATTTCAGTTAGGCACAGCATAGGAATGGGTTTTGGGGGGAGACAAAAACAAACTTCGCTGCTTGCTGAAAAAAATCTATTCCATTTATGCAGTCCTATGTTTTATCCTACAAGCAGTATGCATGTACAAATAAAAAAGGACATTACATCATTGAACGACTGACTATGCCACAGAATGACTGTTCTTGTAATACATGAAATATATACTATATAAACATAGAGAGATAGATGCTTGTGAGTATGGCCACATCCTCACATGGGAGACTTACATAATTAAAGTGTGTAAAACAAGAAAAACATCTGATATTATTTTATTTTGTATTTTAGCTTATCACCTGAGAGCAAGTTATCAAGGTCAAACATTGCATGGCTTATTCTCCGAAGTGCTAAGAGATATATTGAGTACAATTAATTGCTTTTACCTATAATGAGAATACTTAACATAAATTGACATAATTGACTGCCTCACTCTTTGAAAGACACTTATTTTATTTTTTCAAATTAAGCTCAAGATACAAGAAGCAAAACTAGCTTCTACCAAAAATACCAATACCACTCCCAAATACCAAATTTATATAAAAATACCAAATACCAAAACCACTACAATCACACAGCTGCCTCCAGAAAGTAACTGGAATGAATATATCTACTATAAAAATTAAATAAAAATACATGTTTTTTCACCACAGCCAAGCCACAGATTAAACATGACACAGAAAGAACTACTTGCTGGATGTATATTTCCATTTATAAATATCTTTTCTTAGATTTACAAGGGTCAAGTGCAAGCATTGCAAGGAGATTCCTATGTGAATTTTATCTGCAATTTGATCATTGCATGGCATGCTGTCTAAGCATTACACTGTACTATAATTTAATACTGGACATACACTTCAGCAGTTACAAATGATGGACTATTTAAAAGCATTTAACTGTGACCCAGAAACATACAAAGGCATTCAAAATATCATTTTATTCTGGACTGGGGAGATGAGAGGTTGAGTTGGAATAGGGTCTCTAAATACATAAAGAAGTGGCTCATCACTAAAGGATTAAAAAAATGGCCATGGCTATTTAAAAAATAAGTTGTATACGTTTGATAAACAGTGATGCTATTTTAAGCCTAAGACTATGAAAGTGTATAGGTATCTCTTTGGTTTTCCCCAAAGTTTTCACAGCACTAGAGGGGAAAAAAACCCAAACCTTAATGTTTTACTATTATGCTAACCCTTTCCAACCCACCTAAAGCATGCTATTTAATTACGCTGGCTGAGAAAACAGTGGGACGGCTCTAGTAAAAGACAGTCTCACATCATGTGTTTCATTTTAGGCTGGGTCTTGGGTTTGCTCCGCCTCTTCTTTTCAAATAAACATGAGGAGTTATGCAACCCTCTGTAAAATCCGAAAAAAATTTGTCCCCTCCCAGACCTGCCCGTGTAGAGCCTGCAAAGCATAAACAGGGAAACTGGTTGTCAGCAGCATCTCCTACATAATTCGAAGCTGTCAGTGTTTAAGATGCTATTCACATGTGCCTTTGGCACCTTGTAGCATACACCCAACCTCCCCCGGAACAATTTCATCAATGTACAAGAACTTTTACCCAGCACTGAAGAAATATTTGCAACCGCTGGTGATCCGGCAGAGGAGGGATTGTATTTATTTTTAAACGAGCTAGCCGGGGTTACAGATTAAAACAAAGGATTTTGTTTCGTCCTCGTTTTCCACTCCGGAGTACATGGCTGTATAGGTATAATACGGGTATTATCCCGCAGGCACTAAACGGTCTCCCACACCTGATGTTGGTTTTGTGCAGGTCGATAAACAGCAGAGGCTCTCGAAGACGAAGCCCCTCCAGCTACCGCTTGGGGATTTCAAGGAAAATAAAATAAAAAACAACAACGGCAAATAGCCCCTCCGCATCGGTCTCCATAAAAGGGGGCCGCTGCCTCTACACGAGTGCATGAAGCAGCGGCAGCTGGGGCTTTGTTGTTGACTGCGGCGCATTTGATGTGTGCGCGCAAGGTGGCTCCTTCCCGGCTCCTCCGGGAGCCACCCCCGGCGCAGTGCGCGGCTCGCCAGCCGCCCGCAGCCAGCCTCCAGCATCGCCCAGCCACAGACCTGCTGCCGCCGAGAGCTGGAAGCCGCCCGCTCTCACGCTGGCTGCGGCCGCGCCTCCATCCTCGATGGCGATCGGGTGATGCGGCGGTAGAGCCCATCCCCGTAGCAGGGAGAGGCGCGCAGCTCCGCGCCGAGCCCCGCTCCCCGCCGTCTCCTTGTGCCCGGTTCCCGGAGGGGAGCGCAGAACATCGGAGGGACAGCACGGAGGCGAACCCCAAGCAGGGACGCGGAGCCGCCGCCCGCAGCCCCCCGCGGGCATTACATAACGACGGCGGCGGCCGAGCCGGGCTGGGCTCGGGCGCCCCTCCGGTGGGGGCTGGCACCGGGAGGGAGCACCGGAGCCGCCGGACGCCCGACAGAGCCTCCACCGCCCCCTCCCCTCGCGCCATCGGCAACCGAGCCGCGATCGATTAGCGGCGCGACGGAAGGAGGGAGCGGGCACGGCACAAGACTCGCACCCCACGCACCCACCTACCCCCCGGGGAGCGACGCTCGGCCGGCCCGGGAGCGGCGCCCGCACACTCACCGCCGGCGGCGGAGGGCGGCAGGTCTGGCGGGGCTGGCCGGGCTCCGTCCGGCGCGCTCGGCAGCAGCCGCGGGTGTCCGCAGCCGGCGCGGCCGTTGCAGCGGCGCCGCCCCCCGCGCGGGCATTGGCGGGCACGCGGCGCCGCCCGCCCGCCGCGAGCGCCCATAGGCGGCGCCGCGGCCGGCCCCGCGCGGGCCGAGGGGCGCGCGGCCGCGCTGCCTTACATGGGCCGCTGCGCTGCGCGCCGCCCCCGGGCGCCCGCCGCCCGCAGCGCTGCGGCAGGTGCGCTGCGGCGGGCTGCGCCCCGCCCTGTCCGCGCATCCTGGGCCTCCCCCGCCCGCTGCGCCGAGGGGTACCAATGACTGCTGTGCCCTGCCGGGCTCCGGCAGGTTTGGGTCTGGATGGCCGCTCGGCTGTGCTTGAAGCTGGGGTCGTAGACGTAAATGAAAACCGTGTGAAAGACTGGGCTGTCTGGTGCAGCGGGCATTCGGTAAAAGCCTCACTTTCCCTTAGCTTGCCTCTCGCCTGGGAGCGGCCTGAGGCCGGCACAGCAGAGAGGCACAGCCACAAACCTACTCTAGAGCAGCCCCATCCAAACCCCTGGAGCGCAGACACAGTCCAGGAGTCAGCAGGAATCTAGTCAGCCGTTATGCACCCTCATCTGTGAATTTATAACCAGAGTCCAATGACCCTGCAGAGCTTGGTGGATTTTAAATTGAATTCTGCTCTGCTGGAATGAAGTTAAAACAACCTTCGTACAGTCGTGAGGAGGGGGGGGGAGAGTAAAATGCTAATGGAGTGCATGTGCAATGCAGTCCCAATTTTTCAAATGCAGGAGAAATATATGGCTAATTTTTTAATTGGTTCTATACCTATACTTGCTTCAGGATACAGAATAGCCTACAAACTATTATAAAATTAGCTTATAAACTCTGATTTCAGTAACTTAAGGCAATTATTGAAATTACCCAGAATGTCATAAAGGGACTTGAAAGGACCTTTCATGTTAGGGTTGAGTTTGACTATAGTATGAGTGAAGGTTTTGTGGTAGTGTAGGGCATATGAAATTTTAATCTCTCATAAGAGCACAATCAATGTCTGCAAATCAATCTGCAAACACCTCTAAGTCCTTCTCTCCAGGGCTGCTCAAAATTCTTGCATCCCCCAGCTGGTATTGGTACTCAGTAGTGAAACTAAACATGTTCTTGGTAGGCACAGACATACAAACTCATTTCTGCAATACATACGTGCATACACATATGGACAGCTACACAGATCAATACAGCCAGAAGCACTCTGCATTCACAAAAGCACAAACAGCACCAATGGCCTTATCTTGCTACCCTTTGGCTAATCAGGATGAAAGTGTATTATTAGGAAATAGATGCTGTGTATAATGCGGACTCTTCCAGAAGCTGACTTTAGATACTCAGTCTCTCCCTGGACCCACAATATGCCCCACTGCTGTGCCCTGGACATATACGAGCTCCTAAGACTTGCAGTCCCAATGTAGCTGCTTTTTACTCAAGGGCTGGTGCAGACCTCCTCACTGACATGTATCACAGTTCTCTCAGTAGCTGGTCTTAGACACGCAGTCTGCCAATTGGCTGTGGATCCCAGGTCAGTTACTGGCCACTGGACACACTATCCCTCAGACCCCACAGTCCACTCCACCTGCTGGTGCAGATTTCCTTGCACACAGCAGCACATAAACATGCACACTGTGGATCTCTCCTGAGCAATCACCACCCAATATCTTAGACAGGCCCTCCTTCCAGCCTGGATCACTGTTGTCCCCAGCTTCTTCCCACACGTGTACACACACATGCACAGACGTGCTCTCAGCTGACCTTCAGATTGGCATAGACTCCATCAGTTGGCATAGACTTCTTGGCCTCTTTGGAAGTCACCTTCTCCAATTGCCTCACTTCTAGAGATATACTTCCTTCCCAGGACTTTTAATCTCTTCTCCATCTAGTTTGGCTTGATATTTGCACTCTCACTTGGTCTAATTGCTTGCACCACAGACACATATAACCCCTGATCTGCAGTGCAGCTGTTGGTGCTTGTTTTTACTCCAGTCTCTTCAGCTGATGACTCTGCTAATCTGCAAACCCTATAATCCCTTGTCTGATTTCAGTTGCTGACTCTTAGACATCCATACAATCACAGCCATAGAGAACAGAGTCCACTCATTTAGGAAAATAGTTAGAAATGGAATTTAGGAAGAAGGCAGGACAGCAGTGATCATGGGGTGTGGGTCATGGCCAGTCAAGCATACTGCCCAGCAACCTGTTTACACATGGGCAACTGCTTTTGTCCTCCTAGCCCTCTGTGACCCATTTTCTCCAAGCCAAGATAAGCCCTCCCTTCCTCCGCCTTTAGTTTTGTCACCTACACCAGCCAAAAAGTATCTTGTATAATCCTAAGATTCCCTGAATGTCAGGGGAGGTTCAGACTTGATACCTGGAAACATTTCTTTACCAAGAGGATGGTCATACCCTGGAACAGGTCTTCTGTAGAGGTTGCTGATGCCCTGTGCCTGTCAATGTGTGAGGCATTTGGAAAATGTCATTAAAAACAGCTTTAACTTTGAATCATCCCTGTCACATCAGGCAGCTGGACTTCATGAACATTCTATTCTATTCTATTCTATTCTATTCTATTCTAGTCTAGTCTAGTCTAGTCTAGTCTAGTCTAGTCTAGTCTATTCCCTTGCCTTTTACCCAGCTTGGAAATGAAACTTGAGATAATTTTAGTAAGGTAATATAAAAAGGGATCTTTATTTGAAGGCCTTCAGAGGCAGTTATGGAAAGATGTCCATAAATGGCCATGCACCTTTTCTGGAGCCCCCCTTCAGCACTAGTTGTACTTTGTCCATGAGATGTATCTCAAAGAGTGGTTCTGAACTTTGGTTCCCAGGAAGAACCAAGATAGCATAGAGCCTTTTACCCCCCAGGGCTTGGAGCTCTGGAATTTGTTTTGTCTTTCTGCTTAGGGAAAGGCCACGGAAAATTACTAGGAAAACTAGCTACAAAACTAATACAATAGATGGCAGAGTTACAAATATATGTGTGAAGAATACAGAGAACATACAAAATAAAAAAAGGCAAAACCCAAATGGCATCAACTGTAGCCCTGACTTAAACCCCTAAGTTTGTCTGGAGGGCCTATCCAGATTCAACCGGTCTGTTTCAGATCTGGGTGATGACCATCAGTTCTCCTTTGTAGCACTCCTGAGACTAGGGATCTTTTTTTCTGAGTTCCCCATAAAGATGAAGGTTCCCCTCCTTGATATTGTTGTTCTGTGCCAAATTTAGAGTGTGGAGATGAGCTTTTTATCAAAGAACCTAACAACTCTTAATTTCTGGTCACACTTTGAAGACCCTATATTCTCGAATGAAGAAGACTTTAGAAATTTAATTTAGCAATTTAATTGAACAGAATTTAGTAATTTCGTACCTGGTCCTGGAGTCATACTGTTGAAAATGTGGCATCATGAAGTTTTGGCAAAGACAAATGAGTCACAGAAATAAATCAGTGATACCTCAGGGCATATGTGTGCTGCCAATCCATACCATCCTCCTTTCCATCCTTCAGTTTGCAGTCTACCCTCTCAAGTGGCCAAGATAGGGATGAGACAAAATGTTGGAGACTTTATTTCATATTTTCAACTGGTGTTTGCTGTTCAAGATGCTTCTCTTTTACACCTTCCAAACTAATTTTTAGAAAATTCTAGTATAAAATCACAAAACCCCATTTTTTTATTATCTGTATTTGGGTTACTTGACAAGGTTTTGGTAGCAAACAGGCTACAGGGGTGGCTTCTGTGAGAAGATACCAGAAGCTGCCCCTGTGCCAGAAGGAGTTAGCTCCAGCTGGCTCTGAAGGACAAGCTGCTGGCCAAAGCTGAGCCTTGTGGCAGCACACAGTGACAGTGTATTTAACAAAGGGGAAAAAGTGCCACACAGCAGAAGCCAATGGGTGTGAAAATGGTATAGACAGCTCTTCAGACCCTGTGGGAGGTGCCCCTGGGGAAAGCAGTTCAGGGATGCCCTGGGAGACTGCATTTATTTAAGGCAGGGCATTTTCCCAGAACTCACTGCTCCCTCATGTAAATGAGTGTATGTCCATCATTTGTTGTAGTCTCCCCAGTTCCAGAAAGTTCTTTGTTCTCAGTTCCCTCATTGGTTTCTTCAGAAAACCACTCCTTCCCTTCTCCCTCATTGGTCCTGTGCATGTCACCCCATCCGTGCTCCTCCCTTGAACCTTTCCCTCATTGGGCAGTTTGTACCTTGACCATGCCTATCCTGCCCCAGTTAAATAATCTGGCCCCTCCTTCCCCAGTTGCTTCTGGAGCCTTCCCCTTCCCATGAGGTTGTATCTATGCTCCTGTTCCTGCTCCTCCATCCTCAGCCTCTCCTTCAATAAACCCACGTGGATCTTAAAGCTCGAGAGTCCTCTCGTCTTTGGTGGAGTTTCATTACTCTATCTGGGCACCTGTTGACTAGCCAGCAACAGATTACCGTGCAGGACTCAATCTGGGGCAGCCTGCAACACCCCAAGGTCTGGAGGGGAAGAAGGAGTAGCAGGAGGTGCTCCAGACAGTGGAGGAGAGATTCCCCTGCAGCCTGTCATGCAGCCTGTCATGCAGCCTGTCATGCAGCCCATGGTAAGGCAGCTGTGCCCCTGCAGCTTGTGGAGCAGACGTCCACCCTGCAGCCTGTGGAGGATCCGATGTCCAAGCAGATGGATACTCCCTGAAGGAACCTGTGAACCAAAGAAGAAAAAGCCCATCCTTGAGCTGGGCTCTGACAGCACCTGTGACCCCATGAGAGGAGCCCATGATGAAGCAGGTTTTCTGGCAGGACTTGTGACTCCATCTGAGAACCCACAGTGGAGCAGTTTGTTGCTGAGGGACTGCACCTTGTGGAAAATACCCACACTGGAGCAGTTAGTGAAGAACTGTAGCCCATGGGAAGGACTTGTGTTGTATAATTTTGTGTTGTATAATTTTCCTGCCCAAGGGAGGCATCCAGTGGTGGGG